AGGAACTTGCTTCGAAGTGAAAGTGGCTAACACCTGGGCTAATGTACAGTATTCTCAAAGGCTTTCGTGGCAGGGATCTGATGGTTGTTGGGGGTTTTTTCGGGATCTTTGGCCGTGTTCTTAAGGTTTTTCTTCCTAATATCTCGCCAGTTTCTGTGACTGGCATCTTCAGAGGACAAAAGTCAGAACTCTCTCTGTGCTCTGGTGAATTTGTTTGGATAGCTGAGTATTTATGTGGGATCAGTTTTTGTCCTTTTCCCGGAGATGGGTGATTGTGGTGATCAACGTGTTTTGTTGTTGTTGTGGGTGTATTGTTGTGATAAGAGGGAGTTATCTGTCATTGTGATTGTGCACAGAAATGTGCACACAAAAAAGACCAGCGAATGACACCCACCTTCAGAACAGGGCCAAAGAGCCGGAAAACCCACAACAACCATTTAGGCTAATACTCTTTCCATAGGCTTGGCCTGGGCTTCTGGCAATAAATCCCCACTACCTCTCAGGCATCTAACCTCCTGGCCTCTTTTTCTGTCCTTTTGGCCTGGCTTGAGAAGAGAGCACTTGCCCAGCTCCCTGCATCTTGTGGCAGATATTTGGGGGTGGGGGGTGGGGGCAGAGCGTGTTTGACTCCCACAGATCCTACTGTCCCTGGGCGCCCACGTCTCCGCACTTGAGATGAGGACCTGATGCCGCTTTCCAGGGCTCTGCATTGTTTCAAATCCTTGACTGCCAGTGTTATAGTTTCAAAAGAACCGGGGAGAATCCTCACTTTTCCTCTCCCACTTTCCCCGATCCTTCCCCTTCCTTCTGGTACTCTGCCCCCACCTTTCCCCTCCCCCCGCCGCCAATTATTCATTATTTTGTACCTGAAATTAATCTTTTTGCCAGGCAGGTCAGCGCGATCAACAGGCTGCTGTTTATTACAATGTTTTCCTATTCCTCTCGGCTCCCCTTGCCCTCGCCCGGCTCACTGTGGATGCGACCTTTGTTATTTCAGCCCACACTCAGCAGTTCAATGGAAACAAGTTGAGCACGTTCGATCCTGATAAACATTATCCTTAAACCACTAGGGACCCGGGCAGAGTAAACGGGCTTTTCCGACAGGACCACATCGGGAACACACATTGAGAAACGCAGCAGAAAGGAAGAGCGGAGATGGGGAGGACGGGGAGGGAGGCTGGGAAAAGGAACAGGATGGAGCGGCGGCGGGGCAGGGGCGGAGGAGAAAAGGGGCACCAAGAAGAGCGCAGACCGGTTGAAGAAAGCTAGAGGGAAAACGCGAGGCGACGGAGGAACAAAACTGGCCCATTAAGGCGCGCAAAACCTTCTGCACTTGGACCACAGAGTTCCCGGACTAAAGCCAATTGTGGCCGCGCTCCTTAATTAGAGGAGATCCATTCAAATCAGCTGAACTTACGTTTATGTCGAGGGAACAAGCCTTATTCATTGCGAGGGGATCGGAATTGGATGGTACTCCCGAGGATCAAGGAGAAAACTGATCAGAGAGACCACCGGCAAGGAGGGGTCATCTGAACGGGGCTCTCAGATCAATTCCGTGGTATTATTTCTAGAGAGTGAGTTCCGAGGTCAGTGAGGTTTCCCATGAGTCAGAACCCAGGTGTCTTTTTATCCAGTATTTCCATACTAATCTAAAAGTTTCAAGTCAACTTTTGCACAAATTAAAGGGGCATATGAAGTCAACTATCCAAACATGGGCATGGCCCGATCCTATGCACGTTCATTTAGAAAGAAGTCCAGTGACTAAACCCCTTTCGCTAGAACTGCAGCTTGAACTGGATATCAGCACCACCGAAATAAAAGAAAACTGACCGGTTAAAAAGTGCTTAAAAGCGGCTATCAGCAGATCGCTACCGCCTGCACACAATAAACACATATGGATTTACTCCTGTGATAAACACTTAAAATAAACTGATTCAAGGTGGCGCCTCTTAAGAATAAATGTCATTAAAACTCACAGGCCCTTTGTTCTTATAAATATGATCGAGTTGTATTTAATAAAACTAGCTAATCAGACGTCCAGCGAGTAGAACCTGAGTGAATTCAGTGGGTGCAATAAAAACAATAGTAGCCCAATCTGTACAGACCAGTTGCACAGAACAGTTGTGAGGTCAAAGTGTTTGGGCCGTGATCTTAGATCCGATTGCCAACAACTGACAGAGTAATAATGGAAATAAATGGAATTTCAGACACGGATTTCAGATAGAGGAGCCAGTGCCACCGATTACATTTGACAATCTAATTCTAAACCCATTATCTAAATTAACTACTCCTTCAGATTTATTTTTATATTATTTACGACATTCTAGAGTTGTAGGCTTTCTTTTTTTTTAAAGGCAAGATTTCCAGGTTCGGAATTTAGGATTGTAATGGAGGTACGGAAAAGAAGAAAACCACACTCCAATCCTAGCTCTTCAACCTAAGTGATTTATGTATCGGGCAGTGCTTTAGGACGACTGTGATATCAAGTGGCCGCAGTATTATTCGTTGTCGACGCTTCGTTTCCTGTAAAATGGCAGGGGTCCGCAGACGAAATAATGTGCAGACCTCTGTATTGCATAGAATGCTGTCCGTTTAGGAAATTTATTTACATTTGGGGATCAGGTCGTTATTTATTTCGTATTGGGGGGAAAAAACCTTTCAAAGCCAAACTTAGTGCCAACTGTAACAGCCAGATTCCAAAATCAGCCCAGATTAAAAAGCCGCCCTGACAATGTTTCATGTATACGCCCTTCTTCTTCTGGAACTCAAAGGAAACCGGGTTGTTGTTTTTTTCTCCTTAGAGAAAAGTTTCGGCCGTTCGACATCCTTGCGGTGGGATCGCATTGTTGGATCACGACTCTTGCTGGTGAGGTGGCCGAAGGAACCTTTTTCCTTTCAGCAGGAGAGCCGGTTTGCAAGCAGTCTCGGGCCATGTTCCGGAGACCTTCAGTTCATCGTCGCACAGAGCGAAGGTTTCCCTCTGCATCTCCGAAACAAACTTTCCCCGCAAACTTAAAATCCTTGCCGCCTGCCTCCCCTCCCCTTGTGGCAACAAGGCAGTTCCGTTCGCCTTGGATTTCTCTTCGGTATGTCCGTCATTGCCGGCGGAGCGAATTTGACTTAAGGCTCCTCTTTAAACCCAAACTACCCCATCTAGCTCAGCGCGGGGTCTCAATGTACACTACCCTCGTCCTCAGAGTGGCTTCGCCTTTTCCCCAGCTGGAATGGAAACGACACCCTCAGGCAACGCCAAGCAGACTTCCACTTTTCTCCCTGAACGTTTTAACACGCCGTCGTTAATGGGTTCAGGAGTATATCTTGGACGAGCGACCGGTTACCACCCCGAACCTAAAACATGTTTCTTGGCGGAAAGGCCCGCGGAAAGTGGGAAGACCCGTTTCCTAAAGGGCGTGCTTGGGGATCGCGGCGTGTGAGAGACCACTTCCCTTGGTGAACAACAACAACAGGAGAAAACAACTGTTTTGGATGCCTGTGTCTGAGGTTTCGCCGAACACACTGTGGCGGCCACCGCCACGCGAAGTGTCAATACCCTGCACATGATGCCTCCCGATTCAGAAGCACAACTGTGCCAGCCAAAACACACATTGCAGCCTTTCACATTCACAAAAGTATCACACCGCTGAGCTCACCGCAAGCTCAGCCAGCGCTTTCTCACCGCCCCCCTTTCTCCTCTCTCTCTCTCTCTTAACTCCTACAGTATCCTTGAGATGTTCATCTCGAAGGAGTGGGAGCCGTGTTGAAATCCAGGCCCATATTTAAAGCAATTGGGATATTCAATAGGCAGCGTTTTAGGACCCTGCAAGAATCACAAATGGGGGTGTGGGGGTGTCGGGAATTGCCCACAGACCGCCCTTGCCTAGGACAAATTATGCCCTCCAACTAGCACTGCCTCATCTGTGTACCTTCAGGTGGTTGTAGGTTCTTCTAAACGTTTTCGTCCACTGTAGTCCCAAAGACTCTTATGAGGTGTGTGTGCGCACGCGTGTGCTTCTGTGTGTCGGAGTTATACTTGCACATAGATAGATTGGAGTGGGTAATTGAAATACATATATGCATAGATACATATATGCTTCTTTGTGTGATAATTTTGTTTCCGAAGAGAAAGAGGTTTTCATTCATTGGGAACAAAACGGTACAGGCTTGTTTTCAAGGTATCAGTTAAGAGGCCCTGCTGGCTACCCCTCCCCCGACCTGTTCTTTCTCCTTTTACATTTTGTTTAGCAGCAGAAGCTGAGTCCTCGTTCTTTCTTCTTCTTCTTCTTTAATTCAAGATACTCTAGTCCTTCCCATTACAAACGATGCCACAAGAGGTATGGGGAATGAACTGTACTTTCCGGGAGGGGGGGGGAAGAGAAAGACTCTTCCGAAAGTTCAAACTATCTAGAAATGTTTATCCAAGAAAAATATATATATTATTCTTTAGTAAATGGGTGAAAATATGTTATTGGCGTGAAAAGGTGTTATTATGTTAACTTCTGTAAACATGTTGACCACGGATCTTGGTTAAGAGGAGGGTAACAAAAGATGGGCATTTCCTATGAGGGGGCTGTACTCTCGGAGCAGCCATTCGTCCTCTGAATGCGACTTGCGTGTTTCGGCGTTAGATGCTCTCGGGTGCACAACTTACCAGCTATCACGCATCTGGACGCGGCTCGCTTTCCCACTGGGAATCCAGACGCGGACCGAACCGGGACGCCTTCCAAGGGGAACGGAAGAGCCTTCCAGGACGAGGGTGTCTGTCATCCCCCCCGACCAATCCGAAGCCAGCTTTCCCTGTCGGTCCACCCTCCGCGGGGGCGTGCCTCTGGTGAGTGATAGCCCGAGACGCCCCGGCCAGCCCAGCCCAGCCCACGTTGCTGCGAGATTGAAATGCAGAACTTAAGTCTCCTGCATCGGGAAAGCGACTTCCTCGGGGTCCTTTTTCTTGACACCCTCGCTGGTGCCCGCGGTGAGAAAGCCGAGGCAGCCGGGCCCTTCTCCGGGGGGCGAGGATCGCAGGCGGCCGGCCGGCCGGACCAGGCTGCCTTCCCTTCGCCGCCCTGTCCTTCTTAAAGCAGCCGCCCGCTCCGTGTCCTGACTCGAACCATGGGTGAGCGGGGCTGGGAGGCGGCAGGGAAGAGAGTGCGGGACTGCTCAGGCCGGCGGGGAGGGCGCGCGGGGAGGGGGGGACCGGAGGCACAGAGGGAGAACGTGCGGGTCTGTGCGAAGAAGAGAGAGAGAGAGAAAGAGAGAGAGAAGGAAGGAAGGAAGGAAGCGCTCGAGCCAGGGCGATCGTGTGCAGACTAGCGGCGAATGCCTCCGTATTGATTTTGCTCGTGTTCCTGCAAGTTGTAGGGACACGTAAAGGGGTCAGCGGCGCTGAAGCAGAAGAAGAACAGAGGCGGCGCATAATTGCTAGGCTCGTCCTGGAGAGGGAAGGACCGGAGGGAGGCAGGTGACGCTGGAGCTGGGGCACCTCAGACCTTTCTCTCCCCCCTCCAAAAAAGCGGCTTCAGTCCCAGGCTTCTCTCTTTCTCTCCCTCCCTCCCTTCTTCCCGGTGCAAGGATTCGTATTTCGGCGGGGAATTTCGTAAGCATTGCTGGTGAAGAGGCGACGAGCGGGAAGGAACCCGCCGTCTTCGCGCCCCTTCCCGTCAGACGTAAAGCTTCTTCGAAGTTACTGGTTCGAGGGATTTTAGGAATGTTTTGATTAGGGGGAGGCGGAGGAAAGGCGAGAGCAGAAAGGATGGGTGACAGTCGGAAACCCCGCTTGTCTATCCCTACTTGTGACGGATCATCCAGCCCGCTAACTAGGAAGTGAATGCCAGGTTA